GGAACCTTGGCGTGAAGAGCTTTTTGCGTTACCGATCGCTCTCTAGTTGGCGTCTCTGGGCCTTCTTGGGAGTCCTATTGGGCCCCTTTTGGAGCCCTTTTGGAGGCCTCTTGGGAACCTCTTGGGGGCCTCTTGGGGCTTCTTACATGGTGGACCCGAGCTGTAAACACAAGTTTGCACGTTGCCAGGCCGCCCAATGGGGTATCTAACATGGCGGTCCCGAGCTATCCAGGCCGCCCAGAGGGGTACCTAGGACGGTTGCCTCTTGCCCCTCGCTGGAACCACGTGATTTTCACGTGCCCAGGCCACCCACGGGGGATCTAACATGGTGACCCTGAGCTGGAACCATGTATCTTTAAGTGTCCAGGCCTCCCAGAAATAGTATCTAACATGGTTGCCCCGAGCTGGAACCGCGTGTTTTTACGTTTCCAGGCCACCAAAAAGGAGGTTATCCAACACGTGGTCACCTGTGCGCCCCAAACGTGGGGGCGCACAAAAGCCAAACAACACCACTAAACCGGCACCATATGTATAATAACAAACACAGTTGCTTCGGCGGGTGAGTTTGCAGACGGCCTATGGGGAATGTCTTACATTGTGGTTCCAGAACAACGTGTTTTCACGTGTCCAAGCCACCAGCGGGGGTATCGAGCATGTCTGCCCTTCGCTGGAACCATATGTTTTCACGTGTCCAAGCCACCCATCAGGGTATCTAACATGGTTGCCCGTGGCTGGGTTCATGTGTTTTCCGGTGCGCAGGCCAGAAGAACGGGTTTCTTGATTTTCGGTGATGACGGGCGTCATGGAGGGGGGAGGGGGGGTATGACGTAACGCCCCCCCCCCCGCCGTGTGGCTCCGGCACCACAGCCGCGCCCGCCCGCACGACGACGATGAGCGACGAGCGACGAGCGACGAGCGACGACGACGACGACGACGACGAGGACGGCGGCGACGACAACACGGCGACGACGACGACGACGACGACGGCGACGACGACGACGACGACTACGCGAACATCATGTCGGTGGATATCTGCATCCACGTGCAACGCAGCGCTGGTGTACACCACAGCGCCTGCGTGCACAGGACAAGTAGAAGGAGCATGTAAGTGAGGACCTGCTGCGGACAGCTAAACGCCACGCCGGGGATGTTTTGATAACAAGATGCGACGTTTTTCCCCCTCCGTCCTCCTCCGCCTCCACCTCCTCCTCCTCCTCCTCCCTCACCCTTCCCCCCTGTCGTTCGGGTCGGCGCTACAACGCACGCGCGCATCTCATCGTGCACCGTAAATGATTTATTGGATCGGTCCACTTGGTTCTCGAACGGCCAATTTACCTGGAGCCTCCTGGACGCAGATGGGAGGAATTAGGATGATGCTGCCGGACCCGGGAGGACTCGTAGATTCCAGCGGCGTTCTTTTTTCCCATCAGGATTCCTTCCAATCCTATGTGTTGCAATCGCTTCCTGTGGAATCCACAGGCGCTCCATTTCATCAGAAGGATTCCCTCCAACATTGTATCGGAGGTGAGGGGGTGAGATCGAAGTGGAACGGAGAGCCCCCCTACCGGGAAATCGGTTTCGGTTTCGTGTTCGTGCGTGCCGTGCGTGCGGGCGAGGCGAAGCTGCGTGGGCGGGCGAATGGAAAATCTCCTGTGGCTGAGGCGCGGCCGGACCAAATGTCTCCCTTCCGACGTCCGGTGGCGCGCGGTGTCCCGCAAGTGTCCCGCTGTGGCTGAGGCGCGGCCGGACCGTACCAAATGTCTCCCTTCCGGCGTCCAGTGGCGCTCGGTGTCCCGCCGGTGTCCCGTCGGTATCCCGATGATGATGATGGTGGTGATGATGATGATGTCGATGATGTTGATGATGATGATGATGGTGATGATGATGATGGTGATGATGATGGTGATGATGATGATGATGGTGTCCCGATGGTGATGATGCTGTTGACGATGTAAATGATGATGAAAGTGATGGTGGTGATGAGGATGGTGTCCCGATGATGATTATGTTGATGATGATGTTGCTGTTGCTGTCGATGGTGCCCCGATGATGATGATGATGATGGTGCTGATGAGCCTGATGATGTTCGTGATAATGAAATGATGATGAGATAGATGATGATGGTGAAGATGATGATGATGGTGTCCCGATGATGATGACGTTCACGATGATGTTGATGATGATGGTGATGGTGTCCCAATGATGACGTTGATGATGATGACGATGATGGTGTTTCGATGATGATGATGATCATGATGATATATTATGATGAGTCTGAGGATGATGATTAGGCGATGGTGGTGATTTTGAATGATAATGGTGGCTGATGATGGTGATGATGATGATGATGTTGATGATGATGGTGTCCCGATGATGATGATGGTGATGATGATGATGGTGACGATGATGATGGTGTCCCGATGTTGATGATGATGCTGATGATGATGATGGTGTTCCGATGATGGAGATGATGTTGATGAACTTGTTCATTACGATGATGATGGTGTTCTGGTGATGGTGATACTGATGGTGTCCCGGTGATGATGAGGATGATGACGGTGACGATGGTGGTGTCCCGATGATGGTGATGATGGTGGTGATGATGATGTTGTTGATGATGATGAGGTGACGATGATGATGATGTTGTCCCAATGGTCATGATGATGATGATGATGATGATGATGATGATGTTGATGTTGATGACGCTGATGACGATAATGATGATGATGATGATGATGATGACGCGGATTGTGAGACCGATAGTGGTACCGATAGTGAGACCGAATGGGAAATCGATTGTGGGATCGATTGTGAGATCGATTGTGAGATCGATACTCATATCGATTGTGAGATCGATCGAATGAAATAGATTGAGTGAGATTGATTGTGGGATCGCTCGAATGGTATCGATCGAGCGAAACCGATAGTGGAATCGATGGTGAGATTGATTGTGAGACCGATCGAGTGAGACGTTCGTTCCTCCCCCCCCGAACCTTCTTATCACCCGAAGGGTGGTCGTATAGGTCTGCAACAATGGCGCCCTGTTGCACACATTTGCCCCGGTGCACGCTGGCGCCGTGGTGCACACAAGCGCTGTAGTGTACGCGGGCATTGTGGTGTACGCTGGTGCTGTGCTGCGCACGGCTTATGTGTACGCAAGCGCTGTGGTCCCCGCAAGCACTGTGGCACACACTGGCGCTGTGTTGCACGCAGCTGCTGTGGTGTACTTATGCGGCGCGGTGTACACAGGCGCTGTGTGTGGTGCAGATCGCCACCTACATGCTGCTGCTACCCGTCCTCGGTCATTCTTAGGCACTCCCAGACGCCGCCGGCGAGAAACGTGACGTCGTCGGCCCCCTCCACCCCCCAATACACGACTTTCGTCATCCAACCAAAAAAAAACCGCCTCCAGCCGCGTCCGCCCGCACGACGACGATGAGCGACGAGCGACGGGCGACAACGACGACGACGACCACGACGACGTTGACGACGATGACGACGACGACGTGGACGAGGACGACTGCGGACCAGACACCCATGCGGATTCCTATGCGGATCCCGATGCGCACGGGGGGGGGGGAGCGTTACGTCTTGGGGGGGGGGGGGGCGGTGGGGGCCATGACGCCCGTCATGCCCCAAGCAATAAAGAAACGCGCTCCAAGTGGGAGGGTTCTAACATGGTGGTCCCGAGCTGGAGCCACGTGTCTTCACATGCCAAGGCCACCCAGGGCGGTATCCAACATGGTCGCCCCGAGCTGGAACCTTGTGTTTTCATTACCACATGTTCGATATCCGTCCGTGGGTGGCCTGGACACTTGAAAACACATGGTTCCAAACGCCCCAGGGCGGGACCAACGTGAAAGCACATGGGTTCCTATGCCCCTCCTTACTCAGCGAGTCCCTTGGCTCCGTCCTCTGTCGCGTTCCCTGCCCGTTCCGTGGCGCGTCCCTTGCCGCTTCCCTGACACGTCCCTAAGCGCATCCCCGAATGCGCCCTTGGCACATACCGTGGCGCGTCAATGGGCCCTGCGCCCCGTGTCGTCTCGTCCCGCTTCGGAACTCAGTCGAATCTCGAACCGAGCTGATTGAGCGTCCCGCACGCTTAGACTGCATGCAGTTCTGGGCCAGCTATGCGTCCAGGCAGCTCAAGCTAAAGATCCAGATCAGTTCGGTCAGGATTCGGATGCCAAGGGCGCTTTGATCCACAACTTGCTACAGAGCACAACGCATTTCATTGCGGCATGACGCATCTCGTTTCAGCACGGCACAGCACAGCACAATCCTTGGCACGATACACCACGATAAATACCTTCAGCATTGCAATTGCCTATCTCCCAATCACGTGTCTTGAAAACGAACCCATGCGTCGGGTTTCTAAATTCCTTTATGTGTTCGTGGGTCGATCATGTTCCCCTTCTCGAGCGCTCAATTGCTCCACAGGTTCAGGTCGACCTGCGGCCGACTCAGAACATCATCCCGCCCCTCATAACCAAGGCCGCAAAGGGACGTCCTTTCGCGTTGCGAGGCAGGCAAGGGAACGGTTCAGAGGGTGCGGTGGTGAGAGCAAACTGGGGGACTGGGGTGGACAAAAAAGGAACCAAGGGTCGGCCGATTTCTGTATTCTCCTCCATCGGTCGGTCGAGAGGCCCAAAACTGACAAAACCTCCCGTCGCGTTTTTGTCACGACGCTAGGGGGGTCTGGGTCTGGCGGTCGAAAACCTGCTCCCAATCCTCTCCTGCGGCGCGGTCCGACCAGAATTTCGAGACGGACCCAGCCGTGGCCACAATTGGCCTGCTGGAGGCCAAACATACACCCTGCGAAATGCTTAAGAAATCATGGGTTAAGAAATTCATAGTCTCAGAACTTGCGCAAAAACCCAACATTTCTATTGAAATCTTAGGATTTACATTGAAACATTAAGAATAATCGAGCCTCTGGCCGAAAAATTAAGTTTTCTTAAGCATCGCCTAAGGTGTACACACTATCCCGACTTTGTGTTTCAGAAGATCAGAGGAGGCGGAGCAGCGGCGTTTGGTTTTTCTCCGGCGCAGAGCTTGGCGGCGTCCCCAGAGATGGAGATCACCGCGTAGGCGCGTCGGCGGTCCTCGCTCAGCTTGAGCGTGTTGATGCGGAAGCTCAGCAGGGCGTCGCCTCGGAGAGGACCCAGCGGCACAGTCGAAACATGACCACCGAGAGCGCGGGTCAAAAACATGAGCCCCTTCGCCGACGACGCACGGCACCATGGAGATACCGGTACCAGGATGGAGAGGGGGAGGTCTCAAGAGGCCGAAATTTGATGGGCCCTGGAAACGACACGCCCTTTTTTTTCAACCTGTTCCGTTTCGCCGTTTTCCTGCGGGTTCGGTCGCCGTTGTTTTGCCTTTCCGGTTCCGGTCCTGCCAATTTCGGTCGCCTTGTTTTGCTTTACCGTTTCCGTGTTCAAAAGACACTGTTCTCCGAAGTCGAAGAAAAAAAACTGCCCTGCCGTCTCCGAGGTCCACCAGGGGCCGAACACATCCAACCGTCAAAACGCAGCGTACCGCGCGCCAGAGAGGTGGATCCAGCACCGACCCATGCAATCCGCGCGGACCTATGAAAATTGATGTTTGTGCGATTTCTGCTGCGACAGGGGCTCAACGACGCCAAACACCTCGAATAGTCGGTCCTCGATCCGCGCCCACGGAGTCGGCGTACAGCTTAGGCCTCCCCGGTCGCCTCCCCTCGCCAGCACGTGCGCCCTGGCCGTCAGCAGAGCCTCCGCAACGAACTGGTGACGGCCCAGGGCGTCGGAAGCCGCGACAAGGAGGTGCGCGGAGGTCCGACTTGGACTGCACAATGCCACCCAAGGGGTGTCTAACATGGTGGTCCATAGCTGGAACCATGTGTGTTTAAACTCGTCCAGGCCGCCCAGGGATGGATTTCTAACATGGCTGCCTGCTGCCCCTCGCTGGAACAGCGCGCTCTCACGTGCCTATGCCACCCAGGAAAGTATCTAAGATGGTTGTCCGAGGCTGGAACCACGTGTGTACACGTGCCCAGGCGATCCAAAATAGTATCTAACATGGTGGCCCCGAGCTGGGACCACGTGTTTTCACGTATCCAAGCCACCTAAAATGGTATCTAACATGGTTGCCCCGAGCTGGAATCACGAGTTTTTACGTGCGCGGGTCACCCATATGGGGTATCCAACATGTGGTCGTCTGGGCGCCCTCAGCGTGGAGGCCCACAAGAGCTAGACAAAATCAATAAATCGGCACCAAATATGTAATAACCTTCGGCAAGAGACATTCCAGATTTCACACTGGGGGGTATCTGACATGGTGGTCCCGAGCTGGAACCGCGTGTTTTTACGTGTCCAGACCACCCAAGGGATATATATATATATATAGATAGATAGATAGATAGATAGATAGATAGATAACTCAGTGGTCCCGGGCTGGAGCTGCAGCCGTGTCGTCGCCGTCCGCCGTCGTTGTTGTCGTCGGCGTTTCGGCCCGCCCCTTTTCGATGCATTTCGCCTCGATTCGAAACCGCCCTTGTCATTTCGCACTGTTGCGGAACAAAATCCTCTCAGAAGGTCTCGAGTGCAATCAGCTCTGGGCGAGCAATGCGCCCGGGCAGCTAGAGATTGAGGCCCAGCTGAGTTCTGTCAGGATTCGGATGCCAGGGAAGACTTTATCTACGACGCAACAGGGCACAGAACAGTTCAGAGTCGCCCCCTTTCGGTTTGTCCCAATCTCGAACTGAATTGGATCTGCAGCTCGAGGTAGTCGAGCACCTCGCGCGTTTCGACTGCGGCCAGGTCTAAGTTATGCGTTCGCAGCTCGAGCTTAAGATCCATATCAATTTGATCGGGATTCTGACACCACGGACGATTTGATCCACAATGCAACAGAGCACAACACTTCGACGCGGCATGGCGCGTCTTAGTTCAGCACAGCACCGCACAGCGCAAAACAACCTCTGGCAATATACATCACCATCGCAACCTTTGAACGGCTGAAATTACCCGTCGCCCGAACTTGGTGTCCTGAATCATGTTACATGCTCCACATGTCTATATCCCTTCGCGGGTTCGTGTGTCGACCATGTTGTGAATCATGTGTTGTGCACTGCCCATTCCACCAACCTCTACAATACCACCTGGCCCACCGGGAAGGCCCAGCCAAAACACGGCAGGTATCAGGAGACCGTTTTCTTTATGACGTTTCACGCCTCCCCCTCCACCAATCTCACCAATGCCACCTGGCTCTCCAGGGAGCTCCCACCAGACCTCTGCAGGCATCGAGATGGTGTTTAAGCTGGTGGAATGGGAAGGGCTTGAAGAAGGCTGGTTGAGTGGGGAAGGCTGGTGGAGCGGGACTGGCGAAGCTGGTGGGGTGGTGAGGGCACGAAACCTGAGAGGCTAATGGGGAGGGCTTGCAGGAGAAAAGGATGTGGAGCTTGCGTGAGGAGAAGGAGGAGGAAGGAATGACGGACAAGGTGTTCTGGGATACCGTACTATTGACCTGGGTTCGTGCACTCGCCATCGCCACCAGCCTCGCCATCGCCACCTGGCCTTCCAGGGAGGCCCCGCACGACCGCGGCAGGCATCGGATAATCCTTTTCTGTATCACTAAAGGCGGGAGCCTACCTGAAGGTCTAGGTCTCACTGGCGAGGCTGGTGGAGTGGACAGGGTGCGACACCTGAGATGCTGGTGGAGTGGGAAGGGCCTGCAAGAGAAGGGAATGTGGACCGTGTACGAGGAAGAGAAGGAACGAAAAAAAGGTAGCCTGGGATACCGTTCTGTTGGTCAGGTGTTGCGCCCTCCCCACTCCAGCAGTCTCACCAGTGCTGCCTGGCACACTAGGGATGGGTCAGCACATGCGGCATGCGAGTCAGGTGTGCAGAAGTGCGGAATCACTCAAACCCTCATGTGGGAGCGCGCCCACGCTGCCCTCTGAAGCCGCACCACGCTGCCCACTGACGCCCCAGACACAGCCCTCACGTGCCCTGAGCGCCAAACATCCCAGCAAGCTGGCCCCCGACAAAACCACAGAGGCCCCCAGCGCGCCCGCGTAGGCCCCGCCACGCTGCCCACTGAGGCCCCCGACGCAACCCACGGATGCCCCAAACCGCGCCCACCGAGGCCCCGAGCGCGCCCACAGAGGCTCCGCCGCGCTGCCCACTGAATCTCCAAACTCAGCCCACAGATGCCGCGCACCCACAGAGGTCCCCGTACGCTGCCCACCTGAGGCCCGAGACGCAGCCCTCAGAGGCCCTGAGCGCGCCGATGGACCAATGGAGGCCCCAACACACTGCCCACTGAGGCCCCTAACCCAGCCCACAGAGGCCCAACGGTCATGACATTTCATGTTGTTGTTGCTCTTGTGCCTCCTGGACCTCGCGCCCCAACAAAAATCCTCATATGGAGAACTCGGGTACCAAACTATCGGGTGGCATGGGGGAGGAGGACGTGGGGAATGAGAACGGGGATGATGAGCACGAGGCAGGGGGAGGGAGCGTCTTCGGGACGCCCCGCGATAGAACACCTGCAGCGACTCGAACTGCCGCACGACGTTGGCGGTCTCCTCGCGCGCGCCCGAAACCGAACAATGCCCCCAACAGGGTCCCAACCCGAGACGCCCCCGAGAGGGGGAGGGCGGAGCGATGGGCGGGAAGGTGGAGGAAGGGAACGGAGGGGCAGGACGGAGGGCGGGTAGGAGAGATAGAGGAGAGGAGGAGGAGGGATGAACGAGGGGGGGAGGGAAAGATCGGGAGAGCAAAGAGAAGGGGGAGACGGAAGAAAGACAATGCACCATTTTGATGCTGCTGCTGAGGATGACACTGACGACGACGAACATGGTGAGTACGGTCAGGGGGCCCTGGCCTTGATCATGTGCACTGTCACCAGCCCGCAGTAGTCGCGCACCTGTAGAAGAACGTACAACTGCAAATGCATGCATTTTCAGAACTCCGCGCGGACTGCCGAATGCTTCTTATTTTTGCGTACTCCAGTTTGGTCTCCTTCGACCGCCTTCCCCCTCCTCCCTCCCAATGCCTCCTCCTGCTCCTCCTCCTGCTCCTCCTCCTCCTCCTCCTCCATTCCGTCTCCTTATAGATAACTCCTCCCTGTCGCACCCCGAGGCAATTGTTTTAGGGCGGGCCGGGCGTTTCGCCTGAGACTTCTTCACCATTTATGACTCTGAAGCCTAAAAACTGACACTAGCTTCACAGATGGAGGGCGGGTCGTTTCCAAAATGAGGCTCTCGTCTTAGCGCGCGCACATTCGTTTTGAACAATTGCACGGATTGAGGGCGGGTCGTTTTCAATATGTGGCTCTCCCCTCAGCGCGGCGCACATTCGATTTAAACATTTGCAAGAGCTTCTCGGATTGAGGGTGGGTCGTTTTCAAACTGTGGATCTCGCCTGAGCGCGGCGCACATTCGTTTTTAGAACAATTGCAAAAATCTCACGGGTTGAGGGCGGGTCGTTTTCAAACTGTGGCTCTCGCCTTAGCGCCGCTCACATTCGTTTAACACATTTGCAAGAGCTTCACGGATTGAGGGCAATTCCTTTTGAACATGTGGCTCCCGCCTCAGCGCGGCGCACATTCGTTCTAAAAATTCATGAGTTCCGCGGGGCCCCATCATCGACGTACCAGAAATGGTGTTTTGGAAGGATTCCGGATTATGCTGGTGCAGCAAATATGTTGGATCTCGGTGTTAAAGTCCTAAAAATAGCGCTCTGGCACGATTCCGGTTCGTCAGACGCAGCAGTCAGGTTGACCCGTGGCGTTGAAATCCCGAGAACAATGTCTTGGCATGCTTCAGGATCTTCAAACGGTTGTGTTCCATCGAGGCAATTCCCTCAATGGAAATGAACCGTTGCAGATATAGAATACCGGGGGCCTAGGCTACCCTAGGCCCTTCTACCTACCCTAGGCTTGTCTTGGGTAGGCCCTACTGAGGCCTAGGGTAGGCCCAATTGAAGGCCCTAGGCTTCCCCAGGGTAGGGCCTATTGTAAACCCTAGGGTCGGCCTAGGGTAGCCTTAGGGGTAGGCCTAGGGTAGGCCTAGGGGTAGGCCCTAGGGGCACGCCTAGGGTAGGCCTAGGGGTAAGCCCTAGGGGTAGGCCTAGGGTAGCGTTATAGGTAGACCGTAGGGGCAGGCCTAGGATAGCCCTAGGGGTATGCCTTGGGGGGAGGCCTAGGGGTAGCCCTCGGCCCTGCCAAATCACATCCTCCTCCTCCTCCTCCTCCAGCTCCTGCTCCTGCTCCGGGTCCCCCTCCTCCTGCTCCCCCTCCTCCTGCTTCTCCTCGTCCTCCTGCTCCTTGATGTCATCCTCCTCCCCTTTCTCCTGGACGCCCCCCCTCCACCTTCTAGAGACCCTATCCCCTCTCCCCTGCCCTCGGTGACCACCCCTCGGTGACCTCATCTCGGTGATCCCCCTCGGAGACCGGGGACGCCCCGTCGGGGACCCCCCTTCGGGGACGTCCCCTTGGGGACGCCCCTTCGGGAATTTCCCGTCGCGGACACTCCATCGATGACCCCCCCGTCGGAGAAGCCCCCTCCTGCACGGCTCCTCGGAGCGATCCCCCCTCGGGGACCCCCCCATCGAGGACCCCCCCTCCCCCCTCCTCCCTCCTCCGTCTTCCTTTTCCACCTCTTCCTCCTCCTCCTCCTCCTTCTCCTCCTCCTCCTCCTCCTTGATGGCTCCTTTTCGAGAACCCCTCCTCGGGGACCCCCCCTCGGACACCGCTGCTCAGGGGCCCCCTCTGCGGCGACTCCCCTCGGCGCGCAGACATGGGGTTCGCTGGGCGCAAGCCCGAAGTAAGCTCTAGGGATTGGGGTACCCCCTAGGGATAGGCCCTAGTTGTCAGGAGCCGAACCTACCCCTAATGCCCTGGGCCAGCCCCAAGGTAGGCCTCAAAATCAACCAAGGACCCAGAGGCAGGTCGAAGGAGTCGGCCTGGGTACACCTAGGAGTAGGCCTAAGGTAGGCCCTAGGGGTAGGCCTGGGGTAGGCCTAGGAATAGGCCCTGGGTGTAGGCCCTAAGGGTAGGCCTAAGATAGGCCCTAGGGTAGACCTGGGATAAGCCTACGGGTAGGCCATAAGGGTTGGCCTAAGGGTAGGCCTAGGGGCAGGCCTAGGGGCATTCCCTAGGGCAGGCCCTAGGGGAAGGCCTGAGGGCAGGCCTAAGGGTAGGCCCTGGGGGTTGGCGTAGGGTAGGCTAGGGGTAGGCCCTGGGGGTAGTCCCTAGGGGTTGGCCCTAGGGGTAGGCCCCAAGGGTAGGCCTAGGGTGGGGCTAGGGGTAAGCCTAATTAGGGGTAGGCCCTACGGGCAGGCCTAGGGAAGGCCTAGGTGTAGGCCTAGGGGCAGGCCGAGGGGCATTCCATAGGGCAGGCCCTAGGGGAAGGCCTGAGGGTAGGCCTCGGGGTAGGCCCTAGAGTCGTTTCCCCCCTTCTGTGAAGGCCAGATAATCAGGGTTTAGTAGCCTGGCTCGACATCTTCTGGCAAATACAGCTACCTTGCTTGAAGCCAGACACAGTGTCAAGAGGAAACTCACAGAGCGCTTTACGCGTGGTGTTTTCCCTACGTCGGAAACAAAGGTGTCGTTCGTGTCAACGTCGGCCTGCCCCGCGTCACGCTGGAGACGGAGCGGACCACGGGTGCCTGCAGCCATTAAGGCAGGCGCGTCCCCGGGCAAGAGACACCCCACCATAATGGGTGCACTCGGCCCGTGGGGGTGGGCACATAATTCAAAGATGCTTGTGCCCTTGTTGCAGTGTTTCGACAAGTTGTATTCGCTGTCACATTCTCCATATTCCATTCACTTGCTTGTACTTTGTTGCATTGTTTCGATAATACTCTATTCAGTGTTGCAAAGGCGGTTGTCTCTCATCAAGCGATTTGGTCAATCATCAAGCAAACTTCTGGTTATCAGCCGAAAGTCTCTCGAAGAGCTCGCCTTCGGCGGTGCAGCATTTCTCCCATCAGCCAGAGTAGTAGCAGTGGTCGCTTTACCAAAGAGGGGGCTTCGCACGTGCGCTCTGATTGTGGTGCCCGAGAACCGGGATACGAAGTCGGCTCCGCCGTCCTGTGTTCCAGTCAGTGCTCTGGTCACCGGGGCGGGGGGTCGGACATTCAAGGAAAAAGGGGGCACCTGCGGCCAAGCCGCCAGGTGCCGACGATGTCACGAAAGAGGGGGCAGTCGTTTCCTCCCTTCTGTGAAGTCCAGATTGTCAGGGTTCAGTAGCCTGGCTCGACATCTTCTGGCAAATACAGCTACCGTGCTTGAAGCCAGACACAGTGTCAAGAGGAAGCTCACAGAACGCTTTACACGTGGTGTTTTCCCTACGTCGGAAACATGGGTGTCGTTCGTGTCAACGTCGGCCTGCCCCGCGTCACGCTGGAGACTGAACGGACCACGGGCGCCTGCAGCCCTTAAGGCAGGCGCGTCCCCGGGCAAGAGACACCCCACCATAATGGGTGCACTCGGCCCGTGGGGGGGCACATAATTCAAAGATGCTTGTGCCCTTGTTACAGTGTTTCGACAAGTTGTATTCGCTGTCACATTCTCCATATTCCATTCACTTGCTTGTACTTTGTTGCATTGTTTCGATAATACTCTATTCAATGTTGCAAAGGCGGTTGTCTCTCATCAAGCGATTTGGTCAATCATCAAGCAAACTTCTCCTAGGGTTGGCCTAGGGTAGGCCTGGGGGTAGGCCTAGGGTAGGCCTAGGGGTAGGCCCTAGGGGTAGACGCAGGGTATGCCTAAGGTAGACCTTCCCTGGGTGTTCTATAAGCCGTTGTAGGCGTCTATGAAGAGGGAGCTTGGAAGGAGGGTGAATTCCAACATCGTTGATGACTCTTGGGTTTACACTGGTCCTCCTCCTCCTCCTCTTCCTCCTCCTCCTCGTCCTCCTCCTCCTCCTCCTTCACGGGCTGGGCGCAGCGAGGACCATGTGGGAGGAGGCGGGGGCCAGCGCCGATGCGAGACATCTCTGCAGACGCTCGCACGTTTGTGTGTGTGTGTATGTGGTCATTCTCTTCGTCGCCTTCGAACCTGGCGGTGCGGCACCGAACTCAGCGCGGACACCAGCACCGGTGACATCAGCTCCTCCGGCGAAGCGGCCCGCGCGGCTCCCGGGGAGGCTCCGCCGTGCCCTCCCGCGGGCCCCGGCCCTGCCACCGCGGCAGGCCTGGGGAACGGGACGACCATCGAGCGCACGCTAATACGGGATCCGACGTCGTCGTCGTCGTCGTCGTCGTCGTCGTCGTTGTCGTCGTCGTCGTCGGCGTCGTCGTCGTCGTCGTCGTCCTCGTCGTCGTCGTCGTCCTCGTCGTCGTCCTCGTCGTCGTCGTCCTCCCCTTCAGGGTCGGCGGCGCCAGCCGTGAGGCCTTCGCAATGCGGGAGCCGTGGATCTGGCGCACTGGAGCGAGCTCCATGGATCGGGGACGGGTTACCCACGATGCATGAGGCCAATGCCGCCAGATTTGGCGACGGGGCGCGCCGGTTCGGCATGGAACCGAAACCCGTCGCTGATCCACTCCCCTTTTCTGCATGTTCGGACTTCCTCGAAACACGAGGTCGATGATGGTCTATAACTTGGCGCGCCAGGAATGGGCACGGAACAAATATGCGCAATGCCCGACATGAGATGTCGTGCAAAACCGACAGCGGTCGCTCTTGGGCAGGCGACTTCTTGTCTGAAGCGTACACCGCCCGCGGCGACGCCGACAATCATTCCTGTTCACGTTGGACAGCGGTTGCTGTCCGTCTTCATCCCCGTTCTTTCCATACCAATTCCGATCGTACCGAATGACGGGGGCATGGCGACACCAATCCCCGCCTTTCCGTGTTTTCGACTGGACAAGAAACCTTGGGCCCAACTCAAGGATGCGATACGCAGTGGAGTGCCGTCCATCCTCGATGAGGGTGCTTCCGAACAGCCCCCCGGGGAAGTATCCCGAATTTCCCCGGGAAGGCCGCAGGCCCAGGTTTCTCTTTTAGCGGTTCACCCTCAAATTGTGCCTGAGGTGGGCGGGCGAAATTATGTACTAGAAATGACGAATTAAAGCGTTTGGTTAAACATGAATGCGTTTCGCGTGGCCCGCTCGAGGATAATGTGCCCCCCATCTCGGATCCTCGATTAATGGGGTCCGCAGGCTCCCGTTTTCCCCAAAAAAAAACAATGTGCAATGCGTTTTGCGCAGAATCCGTTATGAGAAAAAGTGTCTGGAGGCCCTGGAAATGGGCAGAGAGTAAAACATAGACTTCGTGCGTGACCGCTCGAGGATGGCGCGCCCTTCGCGCCGAACCCCCGAGGATGTCTCAAGCGAAACGCGTGTTTTGCAGATCTTCAAGGGCTGGGCGCCCCATGATGACCAGGTGCTTCTTGGAGCACGGACACCATGTAATATACCCCGGATCGTTTTCCTGGGTCGCGGAAACAGCGTAATTCACAAGGGATCGCGGCCCTGGAAGCGCGGGGGCCGATTAATTCAAAAGGAATGGCCCTTGGAGCGTCACTCGAGCGAAATGTAAAAGGTATCGTGACCCTGGGAGCGCGGACGCAGCGTAATTCACAAGGGATCGCGACCCTGGGAGCGCGGACCCAGCTTAGCGTATTTGACCTCGACCCTGGGAGCGCGAATCCAGTGTAATTTACTGTGGGTCGTGGCCCTGGGAGCGCTGACCCAGAGTAATGTACGATAGATCGTGGCTCTTGGTGTGCGGGCGACGCGCAATTCATAAAATGATCGTGGCCCTCGGAACGCGGGCGCAGAATAATGTACGATGGGTCGTGGTCCTCAGAGAGCTGACCCGCTGTAAGTTACGATAGATCGTGGCTCTCTGGGTCAGTGGACGCAGCGAAATTGGAAAGGGATCGTGGCCCTGGGAGCGCGGGCGCAGCGTATTTTACACGAATTCGCGGCCTCGGGTTCAGCGCCGAATTTCAGGAAACGGCCGAGGGGGGGGGGGGGGGGGGGGGGGCGAAATGCGCCCCCCGAACACACAAAACAAAACCAATATTGCTTTCTGCTCTAGAGGGTGTTGGTGCTCTTTCGAGCAATGCTTCGTGACCCTGGGAGCGCGGACCCAATGTAATTTGCAAAGAATCGTGGCTCTGGGAGCGCGGCCGCATGGTACTTCGCGAGGGATCGCGGCCCTGGGAGCGCGGACCCAGTGGAAGTTACGAAGGTCGCGGGCCTGGGCGAACAAATCCAGCAAATTCTACATGTGTCGTGGCCCTGGGAGCGCGGACGCAGCGCCGTTCACAAAGGATCGTAGCCCAAGGGGAGAGCGGACGCAGTGTAGTTCACAACAGGTCGTGGCCCTGGGGGGGGAGGACACCCTCGGAGCGCGAATAAATTGCAATGCATCTGGGAGCGTGAACCTAGCGTAATTCCTAAGATATCGTGACCCTGTGGGCGCGGACACAACGTAATTCACAAAGGATCGTGGCCCTTGGGACGTGGACGCAGGTTCATTCGGGAGGGATCGTGGCCCTGGGAGCGCGGACGCAGCGTAATTCAATAGGGACCGTGGCCCTGGGAGCGCGGACGCAACTTAAATTGCAAAGGATCGTGGCCCTGGGAGCGCGGACGCAACTCAGTTTACAACGGAAAATAATCCAGGGAGCGCGGACGCAGCGTAACTTACTAGGGATCGTGGCCCTGGGACAACGGACTCAGTGGAATCTATTATGGATCCTGCCCCTGGGGGGCGGACACAGAGTGATTTACCACGGATCGTGGCCCTCGGAGCGCGAATTCAATGTAATTCACCAGGGATGGTGGCCTGGAGGCGCGAACCCAATGTAATTCAAGGGATCGCGGCCAAGGGAGCGCGGACGTAGAGTAATTCACAAGAAATCGCGACCCTGGGAGCGCGGACACACCGAAATGCACTCGGGATCGCGGCCCTTGCAGCGCGAATCCAGAGTAATTTACCATGGGTCGTGGCCCTGGGAGCGCGGACCCGACGTAATGTACGATGGGTCGTGGCCCTCAGAGAGCTGACCCGCTGTAATTTACGATAGGTCGTAGCTCGAGGCGAGCGGGCGCAACGTAATTGGCAACGGATCTTGGCCTTGGGAGCGCGGACGCGGCGTGGTTCACTATGCATATGTGCCTTGGGAGCGCGGGCGCAGCGCGATTTGCAAGCGGCCGCTGCCCTGGGAGCTCGGCCTCGTTGTAATGCGTGCGTTTTGGGGCCCATCGCGAGTAGCCCTTTTCTGGGTCCGAGTGGTCTGGGGGGGCGAGGGCCTGGTGGAGCGGGGAGAGTGGTGGGTCCGTCCTCTCCCCCCCGCTCCTGTCTACCTTCGGCGTACCTTCAGCGTACCTTCGCAATTTGGACACGCGTAACTGCATCTTACCTTCGGCGTACCTTCAATGACGCTCCTCTTCCAACAAAACAATACAGACTGCGTACCTTCAGCGTACCTTCGCCGTACCGTAAGCGAATGTGTCCGACGTACCTTCAGAATACCGTCGGCGTACTTTCGGCAGACCTGCGTGATTTACCAGAAAGGTCGGGCGTATGTTCCGGAGCATCTTGGCACTGGGGGCGCGGACACAGCGTAATTTACGTGGGGTCGTGACATCGGGGGACAGGACGCAATGTCAGTTACGAAGGATCGTGGTCTTGGGAGCGCGGACGCAGTGTAATTTACGAGGGATCGCGTGGCCCATGACATCTCTAATAATGGGGCGCGAGGATCAAAGGAAACTCCAGGCGATCCGCGGTGCGTCCCTTGGCGCGTCTCTGGCGCGTCCCGTGCCACGTCCAAGGCACGTTCCCTGACGCGTTCCCTGGCACGTCCCCTGGCGCGTCGCCTGGCATGTTCCCTGGCACGTTCCGTGGCGCATCCAGTGGCGCGTCCCTCTGGCACGTCGCGCGGCGCGTCTCCTGGCATATCCCGTGGCACGTCTACTGGCACGTTCCCTGGCGCGTCCCCTTGGCACGTCCCGCGGTGCGTCCACATGGCACGTCCCTTGGCGCGTCCCCTGGCGCGCCCCCCAGGCTCGTCCCTTGGCGCGTCCCCTTGCACGCCACTGTGCGAGACGACACAGCGCACCGGAGCACAACACAGCCCCTTGCACAGTATCATCACGATTGCCACTTCCCATCGCCAAGTTGAGGTCCCTGGAAACGTTTCCATGCCTCGCAATTCTCAATCCTTTTCGGGCATCGTGGGTCGATCATATTTCCTGTCTGTTCTGAGCGGCCTGGCTTGTTTCCCGGACAGGGCATAACAGATAGTCCCAGGGTTCTGGTTTAGGTCATTTTGATTGTGTTCCACTGTCCCCAGTGCCATTCAATGGGTGGGCCGACAATGGAAAGGAGAAGTGGGCCGACAATGGAAAGGAGAAGGTCGGCCAGCGGATCTTGTTCTGAGGATGTCTTGAGCGAAACGCTTCTTTTCGAAATCCCGATCGATGAAACACATGGTGAGCTCAAAGTTTCGTTTGTTGCGGATGTCTTGAGAGAGACGCTTATGTGGCAGAACATGCTGAGAATGCCTCGAGCGAACCTCTTGTTTTGTCTCATAGCTTGCCCCTCTCCTGGGACTCGAATCCTTATGTTTGACGTGTATTCCTATAGATTGCCCCTCTTCTGGGGCTCGAGATCTTAAGTGTTGTACGTACATTCCTATCGATTGCAGCTTTATTGGGGCTCGACACCTGTGTGTTTTACGTATAATGCAAAAAGATTGCCCTTCTCCTGAGGCTCGAAACTGTTCGCTTATGTTCCAAAACAGAACCCAGCTTCTGGGACTCGAATTCTGCCTGTTTGCGTTAATTGCCATCGATTGTCCTGTCTTGGGACTTGAACCTTTGGTGTTTAGCACGCATTTCTATAGATCGGTTGTCTCCTGGGGCTCGAATCCGTCACGATTTGGACCTATTCCTATAGATTGCCCCTCTCCTGTGGCTCGAATCCGTTGTTTTACGCGTGTTCCTATACACTGCCCCTCTCCTGGGGCTCGACTGCGTAGCGCTTTCACAGTGCTCGTATAGTTTGCCCCCCTCTCTTGGGGCTCGAGCCCATTGCGCTTTCCATATGTTCATATAGATTCCCCTTCTCCTGAGCTCGAATCCTTCCTGTATTTT